TAGAAGCACCAGACTCAATGGTCTAAGGGTCCCCAAAGGGTCGATTTTCTTTTAAAATATGCTTATATTTTTACAAGTGGAGTAGGAATAATATATGCACATAGTAAAAAGTAATAATAATAAAAAGAAAAAAAACCTTTAAGAGTTCAAATGGGCATCCTGTAAACAGTGACTTTCTATCCAGCCCACCTCTGCCTTCCCAAAGGCAAAAATTGATACGTATTCCCACATTTTAAAAAATATACAAATGGTGGCATACTATACCCACTGTTCTGCACCTTGCTCGTTTTTTCATAACAGTGGATTTTATCCTATATGAGTGCATCCCATTCTGTTTTACAGTTGGATAATTTGCCTTTACATGAATGCTTAATTTATTTAATCAGCCCATACTGGTGGACATTTAAGCTGCTTCTAGCATTTGCTATTACAAGCAATGTGACAATAAATATCTGTGTATCTGTAGACACGTGCAAGCTTTTCTGTAGGATTTTCCTAGAAGTGGAAGCACAGGATCAAAGGAATGTGTGTTTTATATTTTGGTAGATTCTGCCAAAAGAGTCTGCACAGCTTCACAAACCCTGCAACAAGGTCTGAGAGCTGTTTTGCCCACACGCCTCTGGCCCTAAGATGAGAAACTGTCCCCCAACATCGCCACCCGATGCCCACACAGGGAAATGCAGCCTTCCTATGCCCAGCCCAGGGCTGCTCCCAGAATGATGGCAGGGTCCCTCTGCATCTACCCAGACTCCCCTGGAGCATCTGTATGGAGGAAAGGGAGATGGAGAAACCCAATTTTTCCTGGACAAGCAGCCAGTGCTAAGGTGTGGCAGGTGCTTGACACACAGGATTTTGCAATCAGACCGACCATTTCAATTTTGCTGGCTCTTACCTGCTGTGTGTCTGAGACAAGTGATTTCAACTCTGAGTCTCAGCTTCCTTATCTGCAAAGTGGGCATAGTAATATCAACCTTTCACCATTGACGGCAGGATTTGTAAGATAATGAGTTGCCTCTAAAAAGATAAGGGACATGTGCTGGCTGAATAGCTCACTTGGGAGAGCATGGTGCTGGTAACACCAAGGTCACAGGTTTGGATCCCCATACCAGCCAGCCGCCAGAAATATATATATATATATATAATAATGTATGTATATATACAATGTGTATATACACGCACATACATATAATACATATACAAGGGACAGTTTACAAAGAGGAAATGAAAGCGGCTAAGGAAACACAAAAGAGGTTTCATCATAGTAGTGATGAAATGCTACATGCCTTTTTTGCCCATCAGATTGGCAGGATTTAAAGGCTGATAACTGCCTGTTGACAAGGTTGTGGGGAATTGCAAATTAAAACAATAAGTTACCTGCCTCTGCCCGCCAGATTGTCAAACAAATGGAAAGACTGATAACATCTGGTGGGGAACTGCAGACTCCTCCCAGTGGGTAGGCGTGTGAATTGCTCCATGGTTTTGGAAATGATGTAGCAAGAGCTAATAAAAATTGTAATGTGTATGGCCTTTGATCTGGAAAACCCACTTCCAGAAAACTGTCAGAGAGAAATAACATCACCAGATGACAGAATAGATACAGGTACAATGAAGTACTATAAAGGCAAAAAAGGAGGAAGATGGCTAACTAAATACTGGCTAAAAATATATCTATGTTTTTATGTAAATTTTGTATCCTTCTACTTGCTGGATTCCTCTATTGCTTGAGTTAGTTTCATCATTGATTTCCTAGGATTTTCCAGGTACAGTATCAGACCACCTGTAAACAGGGATAATTTGACTTCTTCTTGACCCACTCTTATGTCTATAATTAATCGCTCTTGTCTAATTGTGTTGGCTAAGACTTCTACAAATGTTTATATTGGCAAGAGAGAATGTACAGCTATATTGTTAGGTCTAAGAATAAAACCAGGTTTCAAATAATAGATGCAATCCCTTTTTGTAAACACACTCAGAGACACTCTCTATATGTACATTTATCTCTATTGTGCGAACATACAAAATACCGTGTAGGGATATATACCAACATGCTAACACTGGTTTCATAGGAAACTGGGCTTGGAAGAGGGGATATTATTTTATAATGTCTATACCACTGAGTTGTTAACTACAAGATTATGTTTCCTTCACAATTTAAATAAAATCAATAACGTGTTAAATTTTGATTTTTAAAAATATATAAATAAAGGATATGGGGCAGTGAGATATTATGAGTACTGAATGAGATGATCCTTCACCCGGTATCTGGCACATCATAAGTGCTCAGCAAATAGTGTTTTCTCTTATTACCTCAGCTAATCCTAACAGCCACCCTCTGGGAAGAGCCTACTGTTCTCCCCATTTTACAGGTGAGATCACTGAGGCACAGAGGGAACACACAGATACAGAGCAGCAGAGCCGGTAAACTACCCTGAGCCACCTGAACCCAGAGTCTGTCTCAACCACTCCCCTCAACTGTCCCTCCAGAGAAAGGAACTGGGGCAAAAAGAGGCAACTTGCTCAAAGCTGCCAGCAAGGAGGCAACTGGGCAGGGATTCAAATCCGGGCCTCTGTTGCAAGTATCTGAGACAAGGACACGCAATACCGCTCAGCCTTCTCATGGCACTTGTCAAACATGCAGTTTTCTGAGCCTTCCCCCAGAGATTTAAATTCAAATGGACCTGGATGGGGCTTGGGGACCTGTATTATTAACAAGGGCCCCCAAGAATTCGTCTCATCAGGGAAGTTTGAAACATCATGGCCCAGGGGATAGTGCAGTCCAGTGGTTCCCATGGCCCTGGACACTGAATCAGCCAGGAAGCTCTTTACCAATACTGAGTCCCCTCTGTAGCCACAAAAACGAATGAAGTGGGTTTTTGCAAACTGATATGGAAATACTCTAGATGTGTACTTTAGTGAAAGCTCTCAGGTGCAGAACAATTCTTCCAGTGTAATATATCCATGTTATAAAACTACAGGGCTGAGGGGCCAGCCCGGTGGCGCACTGGATAGTGCGCCGCTTGGGAAGCGCGGCGGCGCTCCCGCCCGAGGGTTCGGATCCCACATACAGACCGGTTCCCGCTCACTGGCTGAGCGAGGCGTGGGAGCAAC